CTTCAGTGGTGGAGTCAGCAAATATTTGTGGTTGAAGTGTCAATCAAGTGGATGAGTGCAGCTCTAAGAACACTGAAAAAAATTTACACTATCCAGGACAAAGCTGCCATCATAGGCTAACTCGCCTCCTCCTGTGCTGTATCATTCTGTGATTCTAACCACTAAGACATTCAATCAACATACAGATGGGTCTGTAAAATCCAATGAAAGATCTTTCATTTTAATGACTTTACTCATGATTCAAATCAAAAGGCATTCCAAATAGGTGATGCCTGAAATAAAACATTGGTCTGTTATCAATCTGTAATTGGTTTCACACAATTTACTCAAAGTCATAGTTATTTCTTTTTAGTGTTGTAAATTGCCTGCAGCTCTATCAAAGGATTTCATAACAATACTGCATTTTTTAACCACATGGACAGTGACATTTTGCTATTTTTGTTAGCCAGGAGATTTCATTGTGGGCAGGCTTCCCAACTGAAATGATCCCAGGTGCATATGTTATTTGAAGTACTGAGTTGGCAAAATGCTTTCTACAATCAAGTGCCTTTAATCTTTACCACCTTGGATCATTTGTACTGGAAAACCTGCCCACAATTTATTAAGGCGGCAAACAGAAAGTGGTCAAAAGGTCATCAATCATGTGGTGGAAATTGGGTTGCTACAAACTGGAATTCTCTGCAAAGCCCTTCTTCAAATGTAATCTAAGTAAGCATATAACCATGACTGCATATGTAAGTCTGACTTGACATACTAATGTGCACAGTGGTTATTAATAAATTTACAGATGTCTGATTCAATACAAACTTGACTCACTGTGATATATGTTATCTATGCTAACATTGTGAAAATAGCAGTTACATAAATGGATATCTCAGCTGCATACAAACACAGATGAACAGCTGAATCATTGGGGGAGCACACATGCAGCTGGCGCAACATTAGTAGTCTCACCTGGGCTTCATCTGGGTGAATTTATTCAATGTTTTATGCACTAAGTTCACTGCAATGAAATGGTTGATAGTTGCAGCCTTTGTGTTCTCATTGTTTTGAGGGCATTAGAGCATCAGCATTCAGCATGTACATGAAGCAAAATGTCTTCCAGCATCATGAGGAAATAAGAGCTGGCTCAGTGTTGGGTCCTTTCGAGCGAGAAAGGTACAGGTACAATTGTTATCTGGGATGAAGCATCCTTTTGTAAATTGTGACTGTATTTGAGTGGCCCAATTTTCCTTGTCATCCTGACACATCAAGGGGATCTTTGGAATGTTAGATCACATGCTCTACCATTAATTTTTGTCCTCCTCCAATGAAAATGTGTAACACTCCTTTGCATCGTTATCAAGATCTCTGATGGCCAAGGTCCCCTCTGGAGGGCTATGTTATGCAGAGATCAGCATAAGACTGCTAAGGGAGAAAACCTTGACTGAATTACCAAAGGGTGCCCTGTAACTGGTCTAGGCACCAGAACTGCATGTTTAGGGGTTCACTGGCCTATTCTATGGTGACCTTTGTGCTGAGACAGCTGTGGTGGTACTGATTTTATGCCTTTGTTAGGCACGTGTCATCAGCCATTTCCTGCATATCACCTTGCTGCCTCTTGGACATCATCTCCATGTCTCTCTGCACCATTTGGCTGCTCCTTTTGCTGATGCAGCTGTTTCCAATACTATCTGTCATCACTTCACAGAAGCTGAGCCCCATGTTAAGAATGATCTCATTTCACCAAGCTGCAAAGAAACAGCTACCTAGACCGCCTGATGTGCCCAACTGAGCCCTGCAGGAACATTGCCCCACTGCCTTCAGCTTCAGCTCTGCTCATGCAATAATCACTATGTGGCAATGTAGGATCTCCTCTCTGCATATTTCATTATTTTTGTTGGGTCAGGAATTACTCCTGTTTCTCCACATGATTCTAATAAGAAGCTGCTTCATCTTAGGGCAAGCAAAAGGAATTAGTTCAATTTAGCGTCAAGTTTGGCACAACATCGTTGGCCAATGGGCCCATTCCTGTGCTGTACTGTTCTATGATAACAAGGTGTAGAGCTGGATGAACACAGCAGGCCAAGCAGCATCAGAGGAGCAGGAAAGCTGATGTTTTGGGCCTGGACCCTTCTTCAGAAATGGGGGAGGGGAAGGGGGCTCTGAAATAAATAGAGAGAGGGGGAGGCGATGAAAGAAGGTAGATAGAGGAGCAGATAGGTGGAGAGAAGACGGACAGGTCAAGGAGGTGGGAATGAAGCCAGTACAGGTGAGTGGAGGTAGGGAGTGGGATGGGGGTTGGTCAGTGAGGTGGGAGGAGCGGATAGGTGGGAGAAAAGATGGACAGGTCAGGGAGGCGGGACGAGATGGGCTGGTCTTGGGATGAGGTCGGGGGTGGGGAGATCTTGAAACTTGTGAAGTCCACCTCGAGACCATTGAGCTGCAGGGTTCCCAAGTGGAATATGAGGTGCTGTTCCTCCAGCCTTCAGGTGGCGTTGTTGTGGCACTGGAGGAGGCCCAGGATGGACATATCGTCCAAGCAGTGGGAGGGGGAGCTGAAGTGGTTCATGACTGGGAGGTGTTGTCATTTGTCACGAACTGAGCGTAGGTGTTCCACAAAGCGGTCTCCAAGCCTCCGCTTGGTTTCCCTGATGTAGAGGAGACCACATTGGGAACAGTGGATACAATATACCACACAATGCGAGGTTATAGTCCCAACAGGTTTATTTGGAAACAAACTTTTGGAGTCAAGCTTCCAAAAGCTTGTGTTTTCAAATAAACCTGTTGGACTATACAACAAAGACAGAATTCCCCTCGTCCTCACATATCACCCCATCAACCTTCAGATTCAACACATCATTCTCCGCCACTTCCGCCACCTGCAATCTGACCCCACTACCAAGGATATATTTCCCTCCCCGGCCTTATCTGCCTTCCGGAGGGACCGCTCTCTCCATGACTCCCTTGTCAGCTCCACACTCCCCACTTGCCCCACCACACCTGGCACTTTTCCTTGCAACAGCAGGAAGTGCTACACCTGCTCCCACACCTCCTCCCTCACCCCCATCCCAGGCCCCAAGAAAACCTTCCACTTTAACAGATGTTCACCTGCCCATCTGCTAATTGGTATATTGTATCCGCTGTTCCCGATGTGGCCTCCTCTACGTCGGGGAAACCAAGCGGAGGTTTGGAGACCGCTTTGTGGAACACCTACACCCGGTTCATGACAAACGACTGCACCTCCCAGTCGCGAACCACTTTAACTTCCCCTCCCACTCCTTGGACAACATGTCCATCCTGGGCCTCCTCCAGTGCCACAACGATGCCACCCGAAGGCTGGAGGAACAGCACCTCATATTCCACTTGGGAACCCTGCAGCCCAATGGTCTCAATGTGGACTTCACAAGTTTCAAGACCTCCCCACCCCTGACCTCATCCCAAAACCAGCCCATCTCGTCCCTGCCTCCTTGACCTGTCCGTCTTTTCTCCCACCTAACCGCTCCTCCCACCTCACTGACCAATCCCCACACTCACATCCTACCTACTAGCCTCACCCTCCCACCTACCCACCTCTCCCTCCTCACTGACCAACCCCCACACCCACTTCCTACCTACTAGCCTCATCCCCGCCTCCTTGACCTGTCGGCCTTGTCTCCAACTATCTGCTCCCCTATCCACCTTCTATCATCGCCTCCCGCGCTCTCTATTTATTTCAGAGTCCCCTTCCCCTCCCCCATTTCTGGAGAAGGGTCCAGACCCGAAACATCAGCTTTCCTGTTCCTCTGATGCTGCCTGGCCTGCTGTGTTCATCCAGCTCCACACCTTGTTATCTCAGACTCCAGCATCGGCAGTTCCTACTATCTCTGTACTGTTCTATGTTCTATTTCCTTGGAAGTGCTGCAAATCCAGCATGTTACCCACGTAGCATTTCCAAAATCTCAATCAGCCCTGCAAGGAGCTCCCAAAGGCTCATTCAGTGCCTCAAGTGATAACCGGCTGCTTTCAGGCTATTTCTACTACCCGCAAGAAGGCGGTTTCACCAAAATTGCTAGGAGGTGACTGCATCAGGAAACTGGCATGCTGTTCAGGGCCACAATTTTTCCAACATGATATCTGCCTCCTCCTTGGGATGAAAATTCAGCCCAGGTTGTCTGGGAAAATTAAAGTAATACATTTTAACAGATGTAGACATGGAATTTTTAAATCATCTGGAAGAATACATGTTTTTGATTACCACTCAGCCTTTCCTTAGCAGTAGTTAACACCCCGTTTTGCAATGATAATCAGTATTTTAGGACATTGTTTGAAAATTAGGTACATTGGTTGTTTTCTGTCAATGTATGCAAACTTTCTCCACTTATCAGAACTAAGAAGATTGCAATGGTTCATTTACTTCATCAGGCTATAGCACACAGCAAATATTGTTCTGAAGCTTAAAATATGGGGACACTCTTGATTTACAAAGGATACTGAACATTTGATTCAACAATATTATGCTTAACTTTGAATTCACACTTGATAACATTGTTCTGAAAAAATAAATGAATTTATCTCAGTGATGATGATCTTCTGAAGTTTTTAGGGAATTGCATTTTCCTCCTCATCTTATACAGCATCATTTTATACTATACTACATCATCATTCATCTCACAGATTCATAAGTAGATGCACTTATAATTATTAATCACAAACCATTTCTGATAATTAGCTAGTTTAGTGTCATTGTTCTGGGTGCTCAATATACAGAAGATATTCTGAACAGATATTGGCATTCTAATTTGAACAGAATAACATTTTTCAGAATTAAGATACCCAGATTGACCAGTTCATATAATTTCAAACAGAATATATTCTGAAGAAACAAAAAAATACTCTATGTCTCAGCACGTCATGTGACTACACTGCAGGAGAAAAATTAGAAAACTGATCTCAATAGCTTTGGACAAGACAATTAAATGAATAACTTAGAGATATAATGTCTACAAATCCTAACAAAGTTCATTTTTAACTTTTATTAGATTTCTGGTGGAGTTCAATCTTTGCAGTTTGTGGAATTCAGACTTCACAGTGAAAGGTAAGTTTGGAAATTTTTTTTTGAGAACAAACTAGATTATGAGCTTAACTTGAAGGGTAGCCTTTTAATGAAGTGATATTAATGTGTCATTTCAACTCCATTATCTGAGACTGAGCTCAGTCAAATCATTTCCCAGTGAGTATGAGTTTGCAGCATAGAATTAACTACTAATTTTCACTAAGTACGAGTTGAGAACTGAATGTTGATAAAGGAAGCTGCATGCTGCCTAATCCATTTGACTGTACCGGCTGTTGCTTAATTAGTCTGATGGAACGTTTCCAAGCTAGGACACCAGATCACACTTGCAGTACTTCGCAGGGTTGACAGAAATGAAACGATGCCTGAGTTGTTGTTAAAGCTATTAGATATTCTATACTTTCCACCTTACGGTAAATGCTTACAAGTAGGTGTCTTGCTAGCACTCTTGCAAAGACAGTAGGAGTTGAACAGAGTTGATTTCCAAAGAGTTGGAGATACATATAGGCCTGATCAGCATTATGATCAAGTGGAGAGGGGTCAAATGGTTTCCCATTTTTCCCACTGTTTGTTTGACAGTAACAGGTTTCTTTTCAAAGGATCAACTTGCCGATTCAGTGACTTTATGCACTGTGATAATATAATACAAAGTCAGGTTTTCTGGAGTTCTAAAGAAGAGAATAGCTGTTATTGTACTTAACACAGTTTAAATAAAATAAGTTAAAAAGCCCTTTGATCTTCACAGTAATATTCTTGAAGTTCACACTCAAACAATTATATTACAGAGTGAGATGATAGATTAGCCGATTTATAATTCAGCAAACTTAACATTAGATGTCTTTTCAAGTTTAGTGACACCATAGACTATAGGCTGAATTTGCTGGTTTCACCGCTTTCAAAGTTGAGGCACTTTAAAGATGTAGGCACATGATTTATCTATTCTTCTGGAGATAGCAGCTACTAGATTGAATTATTTTCAAAATCTCTGTCTATGGAACCTGGATGTCAAAATCAACCAAAAGGGTTCAAATCTTGCGAGCTGTTTGAGGAGAGAGAAAGAGAGAGGGGGAACAACTCATGATGTTGCTCTTTCAGTGTTTCAGTTGTTTGCCCTAATCTGTAGAGAAAGCAGTTGCTCAAGCATGCAGAGGGTTAGTTTGCCAGTGATCCAAATTTAGCCATGGCTAATGTATTCCAGTTGCATATCTTACACAAGAGATGACAACTGAGCACATTCCTTTCACAGCCAGCATCCCATTGTCCAAATGATTCAATCTAATGGATTGTCTCCACTCACTCCCCTCCATACACCAGACAATTGTCTGGATGGATTGTGAATGGAATAGGAGCTGTTCTCAGTTCATGCTCCTTCAAGGGCAATTGTTCATGACATGGCTTTGAGCCAGATTGTCTCCACTTCAATGGTATTGGAATATTACAGAATACAATGATACAAATATGCAGTAATACTTGACTGTGATCTCAAGTCACTGGAATGTGGCTTTAGTCTTTTTAAGAGTTCAGTTAGAGGTTTAAGTCAGTAAATTCAAATGTATTTGTTCTTGTTTATGAAGCATGGCTCTTTAACACTGTGTAAATTTGCAAATTGGTGTGCTCAATTGTTTCAAAAATTGGCTAATTGTCAATTTCAGGGATTTCATGAAGACTTTCTCCATTTTATGCTGCTCGCCTCATTATGTATCCATCATGTCTCTATGGCACCCTCCTCGCACTATCATGCACCCATGAATGGTGGAAATACTCACTACTGCTGGAGCTATCTGAGATTTCCGGTGCCAGTGCCATATTTTAAAGCCGAGCCATGCTCCAGGTCAAGCACTGCCCCCAGGGGCTGTCCTTCACAGTACATTTAGTGGCAAGGGAATGAGAAAGAAAACATTGTAATGGCACATAGATGACAGTTCACTACAAATATAAATTCACATTCGTAAATGTATTGCTATTTTACGTCATCTCTGTCTGATGGACTGTCATTGCAACTGTAGCTACTAGAATCAAACTACACAGTCTGCCTGTTCTTGTCATTTTCAAACCCTATCCAGTGGAGTTCTAATCTTTCCCCAGTGCCCAACACAGCATAACATTTTCTCAGTGTTCAGCATTGTTACATCACTTTTTGGAAATGTGAATATTTATTGAACAGCAGCAAAAAGCAAATTAAGAAAAAACTGAAAAAACCGCAAAAGAACCAAACTAGTGCTGGAAATCAGAAACATAAACAAAAATTGCTGGAAAATCTGAGCAGGACTGGCAGCATCCACGGGGAGAAAGCAGAGTTAACATTTCAGATCCAGTGACTCTTCTTCAGAACTATTCTGAAGGACTGTACTGTATAAGAACAGTTCTGAAGAAGGGACACTGGATCCAAAATGTTAACTTTGCTTTCTCCCCGGGGATGGTGCCAGACCTGCTGAGTTTTCCCTGGAAAAAAAAACTGTAACTGCTTTGGAGACAAACAGGGACTGCTTGCTTTTCAAGCTGCAACATATTTACAGCTAATGCGTGATCACTGCACCCAGTATACATCTACCGAAACTGGGTATCAATTAAGTGCTATTTGACTTATTGCACCCAATGCTACATTGCTATGTCGTGCTGAAGATGATATTCCTCCTACTCAATATCCTCATCTTTCTCCTTCAAAAGGTTGCTATTGTTTACGCAGCACTTCAACATTCATCATACCCTCTCTTTGTCTGCTCCAGTTGGGCAGAGCATGACATGCTAGCACACTCCCTGTCTGAAGTGTATTGCAAATATCCCTCAGACTGATCCAAGCATTGGAACATCAGCTTCAGGAGACCTATCTTTTGCTCCACAATGGCCCTGGTTGGAAAATGAACTGCATTGTATCTACACTCACCCGCAGTCAGGGGTTGCATAATGCAGATGTCAGCCATGGTTGCACAGGGTAGCCCCTGTCTCCCAGTGACCATCCTTGTAAGACATCAAACCCTTGAAACAAAGCAGGAACATGGGAGTTGTCAAGGTTAAAGGCATCATGACAGCAACCAGGGCACCTGACACAGGCCTCTAAGAAGTGTAATGGATTGCTGTCCTAGATAGAGGCCTGGAGTAGTAAGTGGTGAGCTGGAGTCACGAGGTACCTGCCATGACTTTCATGTCAGAAATTGTCACCGTCCAGTTTCTCTCTGCACAGAGGCCAGTATCCCGTCACCAAATCACCCTTCATTTACTTCTGCACAGTACACTGACTGTTGCCACCCTGCTTGGAATCAGTCCGCTGAACTGAGGAGATTCTAAATCCACTGTTTATATTGGTTGGCCAGGGCTTCCTGATTGGCACGGGTTAACAACCCCAATCAAGGACCTTGTAGTCAAAAAGGTCTACCTGTTTCCAATCACTACACTGTGGCACGTGGGACAACAGGAAACTGTATATAAATGAGGTGAGATTCAGTACTACTAAAACATTAATGCATGCAAATAGGCCTCTCACCATTCACTAGCGAAATTCACATCTCACTGTTCAAATGTTTGTTGCAAAATCAGGACTTTATTTTTCTTGATATTGAGAATCTCATTTTTCTAATCTTACCATATTTTCCCAACTGACTGGCCATCACCTAAGTTGTTTGGGAGCTAGGAAAATTCAGCCCAGTACATTTTACTGATTTCCTGTAGAACAACATGAATTGCAGGACAATATAGTAATAGGTGTTTAAGATCATGAATGGAATATACATAGAAATGGACTGTTGCAATTGGGTGGTCATAAGTAAGAGACTAAATGTAAGAGATATCCATCAGAGGGCAGGAAAAACAGGGAATTGTGGAGGTAGGTGTGGAATTCACTCCCAGGGTTTGAGATAACATTTGCCAATGCTTGCCAATATTTAAGATTAGATTATAAAGGTGAATGAAGGGATATGGAAATACAGTAGCAAAATGTGATTAGAAATATATATACCCTCGGCAAACAAATACCAGCAGGTACTGGGTGGAACAAATTGGCTTTTTTTTGTATTATAACCACTGCATGTTTACATTTTAGAGTAGAAAGCATCCTTTTGAGATGAATTTCAGTTTGTTTTTATATCTGTCTATTTTCTTATTTAGACTCATAGAGTCATAGTGATGTACAGCATGAAACAGACCCTTCAGTCCAACTCATCCACGCGGATCAAACATCCTAACTAAATCTAGTCTCGTCTGCCAGTATTTGGCCCATAACCCTCTAAACCCTACCTATTCATATACTCATATAGATGCCTTTTAAATGTTGTAATTGTACCAGTCTACACGACTTCTTCTGGCAGCTTATTCCATACATGCACCACCCTGTGTGTGAAAAAGTTGCCCCTTAGGTCCTCTTCAAATTTTTCTCCTCTCACCTTAAACATATGCCCTGCAATTTTGGACTTCCCCACCCTGGGAAAAGACCTCATCTATTTACCCAATCCATGCCACTCATGATTTTATAATCCTCTATAAGGTCACCCCTCAGCCTCCGACGCTGAAGGAAAAAAAGCCCCAGCCTATTCAGCCTTTCCCTATAGCTCAAACCCTCCAACCCTGGCAACATCCTTGTAAATCTTTTCTGAACCCTTTCAAATTTCACAACATCCTTCCTATAGCAGGGAGACCAGAATTGCATGCAATACTCCAAAAGTAGCCCAACCAATGTCCTGTACAGCTGCAACATGACCTCCCAACTCCTATACTCAATGCACTGATCAATAGAAGCAAGCATACCAAACACCTTCTTCACAATCCTATCTACCTGAGACTCCACTTTCAAGGAACTGTGAACCTGCACTCCAAGGTCTCTTTGTTCAGCAAGACTCCCTCAGACCTTACCATTAGGTGTATAAGTCCTGTCCCGGTTTGCGCATTAGTGACCTGGCCAGTCTTTATTGCCCATACTCGTGGCTCTGAGAAGATTGTGGTGGCACTATTTCATCTTCAGCGGTTTTGTTTATGTCAATTTGATACAACTTCAGAGGATAGTTAAACATTAGCAACATTGGTGTGGGCCCAGA